TACTAAATAAAAGTGTTCTTCATGAATCCAAGAAGCGCATTTTTCCACAAAGTGTGAAAAAAGTACAATTTTAATTATCAAAACTCCCCAGACTATGAGCACTGATAACAATTAATATTTTTATTGTACATTGCTGTCACTATATTACAATAAAATATTCTTATATTTAACAATTTTATAATAACAAATCTTTCAAACACGTAAACTGTAAGAGCATTACTCTGTATTACGTACATGTTGTTTTGCAGTAATCCTCCAAGTCCAGTCTCCACCATGATCTCCACCCAAACGCTTCACAAACTCTGTGGTCAGAGTAAAATCACGGTCATGGATCTCCTGGACTCCAAAAGATACTCCATCATGCATTATCCATCCGTAGCCCTGCAAATGGTCGCCTTGCTCACAAGTGTGCCTAAGATTTCCATCCATTTCAGTGAACTGACGCATCCACATTAAGCCTAAATAAATCAATAGAAAAGGCAGGGTTGTAATAATCTCACAACATCACAAAGACAAATTTAGACAGAAAGTAAATAATGCATAAAGACAAAGTGTTAATTCAAAACACCCCACCTGTTACAACAGATCTAGGACTTCTTGTTTTCATCCCGAAGTACACCTGGGGGCGGTAGGAGCCCCAAAATCTTTCGGGAGACACAGCAGGACTTGAACTATTAGGATCTAAGACCCGTGGAGAAGGGTGCAATGTCATGACCCTCCTGGCCAAGGATGAACGCATATAAAGGGCATAGAAGAACCAGATGAGACTGAAGATACACAAACCGATGGATATATTGATAAACACCTTCCCAATGTCTGTTTTCTTTTTTTTCTCCTTGCGTGGTGGAGCAGGTGCTTTTTCTTCCTTTCTTGGGCTAGGTAACACACCATCACCACTTGCAACCCTCTTCCTCCGCCGACCCATCTTTCTTTTGACCTGACCAAGCCGGTCCGAGGATGACAATCATTCAAATGCACCTGAAAATCACCAAAAGTCAAAAGAGGTTTTGACTGACATGTTTAGACTGTTGAAACAGTGATTGCAGCATTAGCTCATAAACTATCAGTCTTATGGTAATGCATTTACGGGAATAATACATGCCGATAAAATATGGTTATTATGTTAGACCTGTTTATGACAAGACTCAGCTAAATGAAATTAGCTAACGTTAACTGAAAAAAGGAATGAGGAAATGAATGAACGAACGAACGAATGAACTGATGAATGAATGAATGAATGAATGAGATTCAGCTCGTCAGTGTCTATTTAACGCGTCTGCAAAGATTATTCTCTCTGCACGAAGCAATAATAATAAAAAAAGACTATAGCAACAAGGCAAACACAAATTGTACTAATAATGACGTTACCTTATGTACGTGTCAGTAGCCTACTCTACTGAACATTGTAACTTCCGCCTTTCTTTGCGAAGCTAACAACAAACATAGATGCATGTTCAAAATAAAAGTCCCCCAGCGATTTACTATAAAAGACAACACTGGAAGTTATGTCGTAGTTTACTCATCAATCATCATGCGTACGTCACCATAATTTCCTTCAAATCATGATCTGGCTTTCTTTCTTTTTAGAGCAGAATTTTTTTTTGAAAATGTCTCGATGTTTTTGTCCATAAAGTCAAGGGAGACCAATGTAGTTTAGACCTCAATGACATTCAAAATAATCAGCTCTCTAGCTCCCCAGGGCGTAAATCAGTATATCATGTGGAGAATTTTCCTCCACTAGTAAGGTAACTTTTTGATCTAAAAAATAATGAACCCAAATCTAAAATTTACACAAACTGAGAAAGTTTAAAAAAAAAAAAAAAAGGGTTAGGTTGTACCCTGCTCTCCCCAACCCCCTTCAACTAGCCTAATTATGTGTGCAAAGTCTGGAAACATAGGATCTGATAACTGACCCTTTTACACTACTTTGTAGTACTATTTTGGCATTGATTGAAAGCACAAAGTTTGCAGTGTATTTAAAGTTTCTACATAGACATTTTGGCAGACATACATTTTGACAGCTGAATGCCTGCATCTCAAAATACTATTACGACAGCATCACCTGAAGAAGAAGAAAAAGTGCCTACAACAGCAACAACTACAGACACAAACAGTTAGGCACCCTTAACCCACCTATCAATATTTGGGTTATCATGGGAGCCATTTTGCTAACCTTTTTGTATTTGTTGGCTTTATACTAACATTCCCGCAAGCCTACTTTTGCATTGGTTTATGTCTTTTCACCCATCACTACAACACTAATTGTGTGGTTTTACTTTACCTATTGGAGATGATTCATGCATTTTCTTATTTTATGAATACTTGTATGATTTAACATAGCCAAGATAATTATGTGTGTGTATATATATATATATATATATATATATATATATATATATATATATTGTTGTTGTTGTTGTTGTTGTTTTTTTACAAATGCTAATGGTATTACATATTAGACTGACAAAATATAAGATCATAAAAAACAAGTCTGGACTATGGTGTGATACAAACTTTGTGAAAAAAAAAAAGTTTTTATGTTGTACAACCACGTATACAAATCAATGTGAGTTTTTTTTTTTTTTTTGTCAAAATGGGCAATTTAGGATGATTTATAGATGCATCTATTTTTTTGAACTATGTCTGGCAGTTCTATTAAATATACTATATCTAATGTGGATTTCTGGTTTGATGAAAATAAACATCTCAATGTACCTACTACTGTTAAATAAAAATGTTACTAAGGGTGATAACTTTCCTCATTAAATCATTAAAATTTATCTCGCTGATATTTGGGTTGAATATGTACAAGAACTTGTTCTATAAACCAGCCTTAACCATAGTCATCATAGCTTATGTAATATTTTGGAATTCAAAGACCATTACTATAAATGGACAACTTTACATTACACAGCAGTTTTAATGCAGACCAAGTAACCTATACAATATTTTTTTTTTTTTTTGAGAACCAGGTGTTGTTTTTTATGCAATGATCAGAGATCCTTTGCTTGAAGGTGCATGAATGTATTAGTAGTTGCTGACATTACACAACACCAGCCATTTTAAGGTAAAATATATACAATACTAATTTCTTCCAATTAATGTAGAGACATTTCAAACATTTTGAAAGGGAAATCTACTGCACACACTGCATACATACATGAAGTCAATATGAAGCTGATAGAAACCCAGTTTACTTCAGAAATCTGATGTATTTCTCAGTAAAACAGGATATTCAATGAGAAAACAAAATGTACTTGATTTTATCCAAAGAGAATTGTTTGGATAATCAAAAGTGGCAGTTTCAGAATGTAACAAGGTGGTTAGTGGGAAGCGGTTGAAAGGGATTTGTGATGTTAACTAGCAAAAAGGAAATGGTTTTAGAAAGCGTCCAAAATCGCTTACTCTCAAGCAAATCATTATTTTGAATAAATAATTACTTCATGGCCACTAAAAAAAGCATGTTCTATATAGTATTAATGTGCGTCAGTTTCGTCTTTTCACTGCAATTCACAAATCCTCTACCGTGGCCTCATGGGAAAGGGTAAAGTGTCCATTATATACACATTTCAGAATCTCAGTGGGAGTAGTAGGTCATCCGGGTACATTTTGTCTACATGTGAATTCAGACATACTGTTTTTCGCCTACTATACAGCAGTGTTGTAGTACTCGAGACTCGGACTCGTCTCGGACTCGGTCTCGAGACCATATTTTAATGGTCTTGGTCTTGTCATGGACTCGTGTCCATTTGGACTCGGAATTGACTCGTACTCCAACATTTTTTTTTTTTTAGGACTCGGAATTATTCCCGAGTCCACTCGAGTTCAATTAAAAATATTTTTCATGATTATTAATGTATGTTAATAAAATATTTCTTTAAATTGATTGACACGCCCAGTGATAGGTGATTTTCTAGTGCACAACTGCGCAAGACAAATTGTAATAAAATTACTTTTAACACCATCTACTATGTGGCCTTTTTACCCTAAACTGATCATATTTTTTAAACTCTAAGTAAATTAAGTAAAAAAAAAAAAAAAAAAGGATTTCTCTAAGTAAATAAAAATAAATTAGGTAATCAACCCTCACTGGTCTCGGTCTCGACTCGGACTCGACCGTCTCTGGTCTCGGACTCGACTCTCTATGGATTCGGTCTTGACTCGGACTCGACTCTCTCTGGTATCGGTGTCGACTCGGACTCGAGTGAGGTGGTCTCGACTACAACACTGCTATACAGTAGGGAAGCTTGTTATTTGTTAAAGGGTTGGTTCACCCAAAAATGAAAATTCTGTCAGTATTTACTCACCCTCATGTTGTTCCAACCCCGTAAGACCTTCGTTCATCTTCAGAACACGAATTAAGATATTTTTGATGAAATCTGAGAGCTGGATCACTCCTGCATACTAGTCCATAGGCTTCTTGAGGAATTGAAACTTGCTGGCCTCGAAAAGTTATTAAAGACATCATTAAAATAGTCCAAGTGACTTCAGTGGCTCGTTCTTAAGTTTATCAAACAACGAGAAAACTTTTTGTGCGCAAAAAACAACAAAAATAACGACTTTATTTCAACTATTCATGTCCTTCTCTCTCTGCCTCGAGTCAGGTTACTAGTTTAAGAGCGTAAGCTTCTGTTATTGTACGTCACGCATCACACACATCATCACCAGCGTCGGCCAATAGTGAGCTTACGTGTGACGTAGCTCTACACTATCACACTACGTTAACTGACTAGAGGCTCATAGTGAAGGAAGTGAATTGTTGAAATAAAGTCGTTATTTTTGTTTGTTTTTGTTCACAAAAAGTATTCTCGTCGCTGGATAAAGTTAAGATTGAGCCACTGAAGTCACTTGGACTATTTTAACGATGTCTTTAATAACTTTTCGAGGCCGGCAAGTTTCAATCCCTCTAGTATGCAGGAGTGATCCAGCTCTCAGATTTCATCAAAAATATCTTAATTCGTGTTCCGAAGATGAACGAAGGTCTTACGGGGTTGGAACAACATGAAGGTGAGTAAATACTGACAGAATTTTCATTTTTGGGTAAACTAACCCTTTAATCTTCTCGTTATTTCCGTATAGAGGCCGATGAGTCGGATGCCTCAGAAAGAAACCAGCTTACTTCCGCATTGAAAAATAAGGCGGAAGACTTGTTGTGAAGTCTACATTTGTCCAGTAGTCGCACAGATTTTCTGTTGGTGTTTCACCAGAATGTACTTGTGTGCAAACATCCGCCCACATCGATCGCAACCGAAAGGCTTCTCACGTGTGTGGATCTTCATATGCGTTTTGAGGTTCGACGACTGGTTGAACATTTTTCCACAGAGGTTACAACCATAAGGCTTTTCACCAGTGTGAACAGTCACATGCTTTTTGAGGTTGCTTTGATCTGAGAACTGCTTGCCACAGTGCAGGCATCTGAATGGTTTTTCTCCTCTATGGATGCTGTGGTGTCTTTTGAGACTGGACGCCTGACTGAATCTTTTACCGCAGAGTGTACAGTTGTGGAGCCTCTCTCTGGTATGAAGTTTTTGATGCAAGTGGAGAGTGCTGGGTTGAGAGAATGCTCTTCCACAATGTTTACACACAAACTTGTCTTTCCTTTGCATCTGAGGAGAATGTGACTGTTTGAAAGAGAAGCACGATGTGAAAGGGGGCTGCTCGGATTGAGAAATATTGTTACCACCATTGCGTTGTGTTAAATGGCCTTCAATATCAGGCATAGATAAGCCATTAGCGTCTATTGGAGCTGCATAGGAACACATAGGATCTGCGCTTCCTCTGTACATCAAGAACGGATTCACAGAAGGTCCTCCGTTGCATTCAGATTCACCGTAGGGTGGATGGTTTGTGGTTACGTCTAATCTTCTGGAAACCCATGAGGCGTAGGAAGGGATTGGCTGTGGGTTAGTCTCTGCTTCTTCCTCACAACCCCTCTCCATTCTGGTTTCACCTATTGTGAAATACAACATGCTTAACAGTGAGCAAATGTCTACTTATTATGTAGGCTCACAACAAGAGTGTCAGACACTTCACATGAGGTGATCTATAAAATAAAGCAAATTTCTAATTACCATTGAGTAAATGTGCACCTTCACCTCTGTCATACATTTCAGGGTTTTCGTCCTCAAGAAGATCAGGTTGCATTTCATTGGGCTGCAAGAGGAACAAATCATTGACAGTGAATTTTGTCCGAAAAATGTTGTTGTCTGTACTTTTGACATACTATCGCTACACTGTGAAATCTGAAATTGTATTTGTTGGAACACTTTACAATAAGGTCCCATTAGTTAACGTTAGTTACAACACTACAACTAACTAACTAAGTCAACTACTTCAAATCTTTGTTAACGCTGTTATTGAAATACAACTGTTCATTGTTAGTTCATGTTTGCTCAGGACCATTAAATAATATTAACAGATACGTTTAATTTGAACAAGTTACAGTATTAGTAAACGTTGAAATGAAGTCTTTCAGAGTATTTTTCATTGTTAGTTTGTTAACTGACATAGTTATGCCAATAAATGAAACCTTATTGTAAACTGTTATCAATTCGTCTTTTAATCTGAATAGATGACTACACTACACTAAAACATAAAAAAAAAAAAAAACTTTATAAATTGTCTTAATCCACTGTTCCTGGGAGCAAACATTCTTCCAGATCCCTATATCAAACATATCAAACCTATATTCAATGTATCCTATAATTAAATAGGGTGCTTATAAATGGCTGTTGAGATTCTCAGTTGAAACGCACTGGAGGCTTGGACCTGTAAACAGTATTCCATACATCGCGAATTAAAGTAGTAGGTCACGTCTAAAAAACATTTGCTGATAATTGACTCACCCCCATGTCATCCAAGATGTCCATGTCATTCTTTCTTCAGTCGAAAAGAAATTAAGGTTTTTGATGAAAACATTCCAGGATTTTTCTCCATATAATGGACTTTACTGGTAACCAAACGGTTCAAGGTCCAAAAGTCCAAAATTCAGTACAAACTGTTCAAAGGGCTTTAAACGATTCCAGATGATGAATAAGGGTCTTATCAAGCTAAACAATCGCTCATTTAAAATAAATAAATGAATAAATAAATAACAAAGTTTAAGTTTTATACGCTCAAATGGTCACCTTGCTCTGTTCTGTGATGCGCGTTCGTGACTCTCCTGTTCGAACTCGTTCATCAAAATGAACTAAACTTTTTTCGAGTCATTTGGTTAATTCAATGAACGAACTGAACGAATTGACTCGGGAAAAGATTCATTTTGATGAAAGAGGTCGAACAGGAGAGTCACACATAACAGAGCAAGGTGAGCATTTAAGCTTAGAAAACTTAAACTTTGTTTTTTGTTTTAAAGAGCGATCGTTTCACTTGATAAGACCATTATTCATCGTCTGGAATCGTTAAAAGCCCTTTGAACAGTTTGTACTGAAAATGTCTATGACCTTGAACCGTTTGGTTCCCATTGAAGTCCATTATATGGAGAAAAATACTGGGATGTTTTCATCAAAAACCTTCAACTGAGAAAGAATGACATAGATATTTTGGATGACATGGGGGTGAGTAAATTATCAGCAAAACTACTGCTTTAACAAGTGAGAACAAAAATGATGAAAACAAAAAAGGGCAGAAGTATGGAAATTGTCACAGCTGTAGAAAAGCAGTTTTTGTGTCATGAGCCTGATTTGTAAACAAAGACAGGTATATTCAAAAGTTTACCATCTCTCATACTGACCTCCTGATGGCAGTGTTGGACTGTGTCCTGGTCTATGAAGTTCTCTCTATGAACTGCTACAAAGCTTCCCGCGCTCATGTACTGAGTGTCATCTAACCAGAAAATAATTTTTAAAAAAAGTAGAAATAATTCAGGGCACACAAAGATTCATTACCATTTTAAATCTCAATTTCCATTCAAAAGTGTGTTGTATTTTAATAGTTTTCTAAATCTATTCCACCATACAGATATGTGTAATAATAACTAACCCTCAAATATGTTAAAAAATAACAAAACCCCACCATACTCACGATTTCCGACAGTCTTTGTTTCTCCCAATGATTGTTCACATCTGATATTGTCAGGTCTCTCCTCTTTAATAATGAGAACATCTGGCTCATCTTCTCCTACAGACTGAAAAAATGCACAATGTCACCATGATTCCAGATCCATTATAAGTGGTCACCTGAGCCTCACTGATGGCGGCATGCAGTTTCCTACCTCTGGATGGCAGTGTTGGATTGTGTTCTGGTCAATGTTGTTTTCTCTGTGGACTGTTACAAAGACTTCTGCACTCTGGCACTGGGCGTCATCTTCAACTGCAAGGTGGATGTACCAGTAATGCAAGCTTTTTCATATATCAGTGAATTTTAAAACATTATTATTTGATCATTTCTTCTTACAATCCTTACAAGCCACATTTTGTCGTCTTGTTGACTTGAATGACATTTCAACTGATGTCAGATCTGAGCTATACACTTAAACCCCTACAAGTTACAAAGGATAAAACTATTACACAAATAGATGAAATGCCCTTTACTCACGATTTTCAGCAGTGTCTGTTTCTCTTTCTGACTGTTCACACCTCATGTTGTCAGGTCTCTCCTCTTTAACAATGAAAACATCTGGCTCATCACTTCCTACAGACTGATAACAATGTTGCATTGAATACTGAGAGGAAATTTGTATGGTATAGAAAATCTATATATATATATATATATATATATATATATATATATATCAATATACTATCTCGATATTTAGAGATATGGGTGGCCAAGGGCTTATTTGTGTTCACAAGTTTGGGGTCAGTAAAATGAATCAAATTAATACTTTTATTAATACTGACCAAGGATGCATTACACTCACCAAAATTGACAGTAATGAGATTTATAATATTACAAAAGATTTCTATTTCAAATAAGTGCTTGGAAGTTACTATTCTTAAATGAATAGGGAAAAGTGTATCACAGATTATTTGACTGATTTCAACTGATAAGACGACGACATTCTCCTGGGCAGCAAATCCGCATATTAGAATAATTTCTGAGGAATCATGTAACTGCCATTACAGGAAATAATTAAATAATAGGAAATAATTTTAAAATCTTTTAAAAGTAAAAAACATTTTAAAGTGTAATAATACTTCACAATATTACCATTTTACTGTATTTTTGGTCAAATAAAATAAGAGACTAATTTCAAAAACCTTTCCGACTCCACACTTTTGAACAGAATATATTTTATATAAAAACAAACACAATTTAATTATATCAAGCAACACAAACTGCTGAAAGAAAATGCACACTTACAAAATATGTGTGCCACATTACTCTAAAGACTGTTATAAATATATTATTATAATATATATATATATATACTATTATTTTCATAGGCAATTTTAGAAAATTGTTGAGATGCTAACATAACACAAAAGATGAAAATATAAGAACTGTTTGGAAAACTTTTTGAGTGCTTTGCCTTTGAGATAAAGTTATTGAACACAGAGAAAGAGTCAGTGAAAATTATTGAATGAACAATTAATAGAGGTTTGCAGTTAAATGGTTTGATCACCCAAACATCTTCCCATCATTTACTCACTCTCAAGCCATCCTAAGTGTATATAATTTTCTTCTTTCAGCCAAACACTCAATCTGAGTTAGGCCTATATCATAAAATATCCTGGCTCTTCCATTCTTGGAGTGAATGGTACCTTACATTTTGAAGCCCAAAATGCACATCCATCTATCATAAAAGTAATGTATATGGCTCCAGTGTGTTAATAAAGGCATTCATTATTGTATATCCAGCCATATTTATAACTTTAGAAACTATAATCAGTGGTTTCCGGTAACAGCCGTACGCGAGTCTAATTCTGGCGGAAGAGTGACCTCTGACCTGACATATGTAAAAGTAGTGTAAGCTAAAGGTGAGATTAGACACCTCTACTCTCACCTAGCTTTACTTGGCTTCAAAAAACAAGGTAGAAGGTACCACTATTCACTGCCTTTAAAAAACTTGAAAGAGCCATGATACTTTTTTTATATACATTGTGTGAAGGTGGCTTGAGGGCGAATTGTAAATATGGGTTCATTTTCATTTTTGGGTTAACTGACTTTAACTGACGAGTATCAGTGTATGAAGACAAACAACCAAAACAAAATTAGATACACACTCCATGTATTGTTTATGCAGACCTGGTCAAGTCTTTCAGGCTGAAGAAGCGAGTTGCTGCGGTGAACTGATCCCTCTTCATCACTACCAACATTACACACCGAAGAGACTTTCAAGCTGATTCGCCCTGGAAATAAGCGTAGCACCTTTACAGTGAACAATATATAATGTTTCAATATATTCAATGTAATGTATAACTCATTACATTGAGTTATCAATATATTCAATGTAATGGAGTTATCCAAAACTATGGAAGCCCGTTTATGCCACCGGTGAGTAAAAAAAATTAATGCTGTAAATCAAAATAATGAGAAAATTTTTCATAATTATGACTTAGTTTCTCATTATATTGAAAAATTTTCTCATAATAATGACTTAACATCTCATACTAATGAGAAACTTTCTCAATGCAAAATTTCTCATTAGCATACTTAAGCCATGATTATGAGAAAATTACCCATTAATAAGAGATACTAAGGCATAACTACGAGAAAGTTTCTCATTATTATGACTTAATTACAGAATTATATTGTTTTACTCCACTGTGAAGTACACAAAAACGCTTCCACACAAAACCGCTGTCAGCAAAGTAACGTTAACTGAATGATTCCCATTCCAATCAGCCTTACCTGACACTTTTTCGTTAACACTAACGTTAGTTCTGGTCATAGAAGTTGATTCGCTCATCAGTTTATGCGCTCTTCGATAAAACGAATCCCGGATTTCTATCGTTTTCAATTTCTTTTTAAGGAGGATATTCTCATTTTTTGTTTGTGATATTTCAAGATGTAATTCGGCATAGCTGTCCTCAACAAGTTTGCAGATTTCTGCCACAGCGGCGTTTGCTAGAACTTCCATAACTGAAGCAATTTGCGTTTGAAACGTTAATATATTTGCCATTGTGTTGAAATCTATTTTGATGAAGCTAACATTAGTGAGCCAGTTCAAATGAGTGTGTGTGTGTGTGTGTGTACTAGTCTTCAGGTGCTCTTCCTCAAACCGCGAAGCTGGCCATGAGTCGACAACTTCCGCTTGGGATTTTTAAAATAAAAGCTCACTTCCTATTGCTTGAAAGATATTCATTAATTTAGAACTTTTTTAGTTAAAATAGAGCTTTAATAAGTTGTAAAAGTGGATACATTTATTTCCACCTACATATACAATGGAATGTATAATGGAACAGCTGAGAAACAATTTCATATTGTAAACAGTATAAACTGATTTGACAAGGTCAATAATAAGCAATATTTATATTCACAATTCAAAGAGGAAAAACAAACTTTTGTATTGATACATGTAGTATTTTTATTAGTTTTTGCAGAGTAATATGTCCATGCCAATGACTTGCAGAACATTTGCTTTGCATTTATAAAGTGCATGGAGTATGAATAAGCCACTGAAAATGTCCTTTTTCTCCAATAAATACCCCATAAAAAGACACGATTTGCACGACATTATACGGTAAATGGTACATTATAAATAAATATAAATAAATAAAAACAATACATTTCATTATACAATACAGAGAAAGAAATCACATTTAGAAACATTTTATGGAGGTCCTGTTTGTCTAGCAATACAGGCCCAAAAAATACATAATTGCTGAAATAAAATAATCATTAATAAAGTACATTCATTACTACAAAGGAGGCGGATTTTAATATCCTGCAAGGCTTAGATGAATTATATTTATGTTTTCATTGGTGTTCAGTCCTGTTTTTGCTCTATAAATATCTCTAGAAGAGGCTGTTTCGAGTGGTGTACTGTACGTTGTATGACTTTCTTCTGTGCCAACGTCTTCTGACTGCTGCACAGCATCCACAGAGTAAACACTAAAGACATAAACAGACAAAATGAGAGTTAACATCCTGAGAGAGAACACTTTACACTTAAAAAAAGATGCTATTCAGCTACACAATTATAAACCTCATTTAAAAGGCAGATCTATAGATAACACATCCCTGCTGTCATGAATCACTTCACTATGCATATATTTGAATTTCAATCATCATAAAACTTACGCAAAGGAGAATCCAGCAAGGTATAAGCCCGATGACAATAGCCACAGGGACAATGATCGCCACAATCCATGCTACGTTTGTGCCATTGTTTGAGGTTGTGGTTGGTGGAGGTATGGTGGTGGGAGCAGGTGTGGTAAAGGTCAAGAAAAGTTGTGAGACCAAGCTACCAAAAGCTGCAAATCCACCGTCACGTTCTGAGAAAACGTAGGAAACATTGGCGACAAGCATGGAACTCGCCAACTCGCTGTGGGGAGATTAAAACATACAATGAGAAACAAAAAGGAAATTTTTATATTATAAATATTATTATTTTGCCATTCACACTGTAAAAAAATATTGTTGGTTTAACTTAAAAAAAAGAAAAAAACTTGAACAAAAGAAAAAAAAATGTTGTGATTACAAATCATGTTTCAGAATCATCCCACTGGCAAAAGCAGATTTTTCTTAAAATCAATTTGAGATTTTTGCTCAACAAATTAAAAAGCGGATCCAAACTCACGTGAAATTGGCTGGAATAAATGTAAAAGCTGCTGTGGGATTCTGTAGGATCTGTTTCACCTGAAGAATGCAGCAATAAATATAGAGAATAGCAGTTAATGTGATTATAATAAGGCAATTTTAATGTCAAGGTTTTTTTTTTTTTTTTTTGAAGGACTGCAATGCCCAAGCCTCTCCAACTCACCAAATTATTTATCTTTTTTTGTATTTCATCATAGGCTTGATTCTTCTGTGCATCATTCACAGATAAACCACTGACTTCAAATTCAAAGTTGAGAGCATAGGCAGTCTCATTAATACCTAAAGACATATATAAAAAAAAAATAATTAGTTGTATGTCATTATCCATTTTCATTCATAATCATGCATAATTATTGATTATTTTCCTTCGAAAAAAAGCCATAAAAGCTTACTACAGGTCTGCCAGATGTACACTATTTGAATTCAAATGTTATATTCACACACACAAAAATAGCACATGAAGAAGAGAGAAAAACTCACTCGAATAGGTGACACCTGTCTTGACCACAGGCTCATTTGGGATTACTGCTGTTTTGGTGATTTGTTTAGTTGTGAGATTTGAGGCCAGCAGAGAATTAATTAGCCGTAGAACTTTACTCTCACTTGGTTTTGGGCCCAGTGTGACAAACTCAAGGCGAATCCTGATAATCACGTCACTGATACTGAAATAATAAATAAATAAATAAATAAAGATGAAAAATAATTGAAAATGTAGACATAGAAGGATTTCACAAAATTAATGATTGGACTCGTTGGACTTACGGTTTTTGTACGGTAGTTGCGGTTGTCGAAATGCTCGCTGCTAAAAGAAAATAACAAGTAAAAGAGGAGATCAGACTTTCAATTACAGTATTTGTTGTTTTTGGTGCAAGACAAAAAACATGACATCTTTTTTTAAATGTTAATGTAATATCTGACAGTCAGTTTGGCCATTTAAATAACCGTTTAAGACTGTAGGGTGTATGGTAATACCTTGGTTAACCTGGAGAAGAAGCTGGATAAAGGGACTAGGTTGCGTGATATTACTGAATGAGAAAACATACGTAACATTTGCCTGAATCGTCGAGGTATTACCCCTGTAGGGAAATTAAAATGTTCAATTAGAAATGAAAGTTAAAAACTGAAAAATTATGTTTTGACACCTACATGTGTATAAAAATTACTAATACTAACTAACTAACACCAAATAAGTTTTTTTTTTTTTTTTTTTTTAATCAGAACATATTTGCTTAAAATTCAGAACTTACATGAATTCTGTGAAATCGCCTGGTTGGAAATTAACTACAGGAGCTGAGGAATTAGTTAGGATCTTGTTTAGCTGAAAAGTGCAGGAAAAAAATTGAGATTAATGTGGTTAAAATAATGACTTTTTTTGTAAAAGACCACTGCATTGAAATGTGTCCAACTCACCAATAAATTTACGGAGTTTTGTACTGACAGGTAGGTGTTCTGCCTGAATTCAATTTTCTCAGACATGGTCACATTGCTGATTGCAAATCCGAAGTTGAGAGCATAGGCGCTTTCATTAATTTCTTAAAAAATATGTAAGGAAAATAATTAGTAGTGTGGTAGTAAATGTGGATAGTATAAAACTTATGCATAAAACTTATGTTCACTTATGGATTCTTTAAAGGGATACTCCACTTTTTTTTGGAAAAGGCTAATTTTACAACTCCCCCAAGTTAAACAGTTGGGTTTTACCGTTTTCTAATATATTCAGCCAATTTTCTGGTATTTAGAAGAATATCAGTAACCAGACAGTTTCTGGTCTCAGTGACTTAATAGGAAAAAAAATATACTATGGAAGTCCATGAGATCAGAAAGTGCCTGGTTACTGATATTCTTCTAAATATCAGAAAATTGGCTGAATATATTAGAAAACGGTAAAACCCAACTGTCTAACTCAGGGGGAGTGGTAAAATGAGCCTATTTAAAAAAAAAAAGAAGAAGAAAAAAAAGTGGAGTATCCCTTTAAGGAATACCAAATGGACATTTTTCTTTCGTAAGCTTTCTAAAGATCTACATGATGTACAGCATTAGCAATCAAAAATGACATGATTCACAACAAAAAGAAGCCAAGAGAGGAAAGAAAAACTTACGCATATATGTGACATTTACAAAGCTCACAGGATCACTTAGGGCTTCTGTTTTGGTGTTTAGTTTAGTTGCGGGAAGCGAGGACAACAGATTGTTGGCAACCTGCATAATATCCTTTTCATTTGGTAGGGGGCCAGGTACAACGAACACAAGGCGTATATATATAATCACTGTGCCAAGCCTACGAAGATGATAAATAATAAACATTAAGGTAAAAAATGAAAATTACAATTTTAAGGATCAGACTGGAATCATTGTTCTTACAAAGTCCGTGGAGTAGTTGTGCTTGGTGTCAGGGTGCTGGCTGTTGTTAGGACTGTAAAGTAAAGCAATGATTAGTGGAGGATGCTTGCGATACAGTACATGGTGTCTGTGGAGCAATTTATTGTCTGTTTTGACAAACCTGAATGAAGCTCATTTAGGAAGCTGACTGGTTGAATGGCATCTCCATTCTGGAAGGTGTATTCCATACTGCCATTAATATGGTTTGAAGAGCTCCTGTGGGACAAACAGAAGATATTTGTTCAATTCAGATTCGAAAGGTTTTACATTTTTTGAATCTTTAATTTTTCATTACTTTCATAGATTAAAATCTGACAACAGATAAAATAAAGATTGTGATGTCAGTTTGCATCTTACACAAAGTTGGATGAATTGGCTCTCAATGGTAGACTGCTCGGTTCATTCAGAAGAGTGTTCAGCTGCAGGTGAAAATCAAATAATTCATTAAACTTCATAGAAAGATTTCTACTGGACTCAAAAACATTGTTTTTTTAATTCTGATTTCTTACTGCATTATTGATGACATCTTGCACTTGCACATAAGTGCTGTTTCTGAGCTCAGGGTCTTCAGACATGCTGATGTTACTCAGTTTAAACGTAAAGACGACAGCATAGGAGGTTTCTGAGATTTCTGTTTGGAAATAAAGTTATATTCATATTTGTCCACACCTTGGCAGTCTTGACTGTTTGGCTTGGTCATTCTCATTTCAAACTATTTTCAATTCTGAAGGACGAAACTTACTCTGATAGGTGAAATTCGCCACCTCCACTGATTCATTGAGCTGTGACTGTCTGGATGTCAGGAGAGTGATGATAGCATTGAGGACAAGAGTTTCACTGGGGACTGGAGATGAGGAGTTGAACAGCAGCTTGCTTGTGACCACTGCTGAACCAGATCTGTAAAAACAAAAACTTTTGTTTAGTATATTTCACATTTGTACAATGAAAATACTCCATGACTGATAGTAATCTCTCAAAATGGAAAGTCAACACTAACATTAGTTTTGGAGGAGCCAGAGAGGACCCAGTTGTTGATTCTGGAGACACTGTTGTAGTGATCACTGCAACATTTAAATGTAAAAACAAACAATTAGTCTTTTGTGATTTACAGAAAAAATATTTTTTCACCTTTTAGAATTTTTATAGCCATAGATCATCATAACTGACATACCCAATAGTGAATGAAGCTCCTTTAGGAAGCTGACTGGTTGAATGGCATCTCCATTCTGGAAGGTGTATTCCATACTGCCGTTAATATGGTTTGAAGAGCTCCTGTGGGACAAAGAGAAGATATCTGTTAAATTCAGATTCAAAAGGTTTTGACTTTTTTGTGTGTTTTTAATTTCCCAATCAATTAAAATCTGACAACAGATAAAATAAAGATTGTGATGTCAGTTTGCATCTTACACAAAGTTGGATGAATTGGCTCTCAATGGTAGACTGGTCGGTTCATTCAGAAGAGTGTTCAGCTGCAGGTGAAAATCAAATAATTCATTAAACTTCATAGAAAGATTTCTACTTGATTTAGAAACATTGATTAATTTAATTCTGATTTCTTACTGCATTATTGATGACATCTTGCACTTGCACATAAGTGCTGTTTCTGAGCTCAGGGACTTCAGACATGCTGATGTTACTCAGTTTAAACGTAATGATGATGGCATAGGCGGTTTCTGAGATTTCTGTTTGGAAATAAAGTTATGTTCATATTTGTCCACACCTTGGCAGTCTTGACTGTTGGGCTTGGTCATTCTCATTTCAAACTATTTTCAATTCTGAAGGACGAAACTTACTCTGATAGGTGAAATTCGCCACCTCCACTGATTCATTGAGCTGTGACTGTCTGGATGACAGGAGAGTGTTGAGAGCACTGAGGACCAGAGTTTCACTGGGGACTGGAGATGAGGAGTTGAACAGCAGCTTGCTTGTGACCACTGCTGAACCAAATCTGTAAAAACAACAACTTTTGTTTAGTATATTTCACATTTGTACAATGAAAATACTCCATGACTGATAGTAATCTCTCAAAATGGAAAGTCAACACTAACATTAGTTTTGGAGGAGCCAGAGAGGACCCAGTTGTTGATTCTGGAGACACTGTTGTAGTGATCACTGCTACAATTAAATGTAAAAACAAACAATAAGTCTTTTGTGATTTACAGAAAAAAACAAATTCACCTTTTAGAATTTTTATAGCCATAGATCATCATAACTGACATACCCAATTGTGAATGAAGCTCATTTAGGAAGCTGACTGGTTGAATGGCATCTCCATTCTGGAAGGTGTATTCCATACTGCCGTTAATCTGGTTTGAAGAGCTCCTGTGGGACAAAGAGAAGATATCTGTTAAATTCAGATTCAAAAGGTTTTGAATTTTTTGTGTGTTTTTAATTTCCCAATCAATTAAAATCTGACAACAGATAAAATAAAGATTGTGATGTCAGTTTGCATCTTACACAAAGTTGGATGAATTGGCTCTCAATGGTAGACTGGTCGGTTCATTCAGAAGAGTGTTCAGCTGCAGGTGAAAATCAAATAATTCATTTAACTTCATAGAAAGATTTCTACTGAATTTAGAAACATTGATTAATTTAATTCTGATTTCTTACTGCATTATTGATGACATCTTGCACTTGCACATAAGTGCTGTTTCTGAGCTCAGGGACTTCAGACATGCTGATGTTATTCAGTTTAAACGTAATGATGATGGCATAGGCGGTTTCTGAGATTTCTGTTTGGAAATAAAGGTATGTTCATATTTGTCCACACCTTGGCAGTCTTGACTGTTTGGCTTGGTCATTCTCATTTCAAACTATTTTCAATTCTGAAGTACGAAACTTACTCTGATAGGTGAAATTCGCCACCTCCACTGATTCATTGAGCTGTGACTGTCTGGATGTCAGGAGAGTGTTGAGAGCACTGAGGACAAGAGTTTCACTGGGGACTGAAGATGAGGAGTTGAACAGCAGCTTGCTTGTGACCACTGCTGAACCAGATCTGTAAAAACAACAACTTTTGTTTAGAATATTTCACATTTGTACAATGAAAATACTCCATGGCTGATAGTAATCTCTCAAAATGGAAAGTCAACACTAACATTTGTTTTGGAGGAGCCAGAGAGGACCCAGTTGTTGATTCTGGAGACACTGTTGTAGTGATCGCTGCAACATTTAAATGTGAAAACAAACAATTAGTCTTTTGTGATTTAAAGAAAAAATATTTTTTCACCTTTTAGAATTTTTATAGCCATAGATCATCATAACTGACATACCCAATTGTGAATGAAGCTCATTTAGGAAGCTGACTGGTTGAATGGCATCTCCATTCTGGAAGGTGTATTCCATACTGCCGTTAATCTGGTTTGAAGAGCTCCTGTGGGACAAAGAGAAGATATCTGTTAAATTCAGATTCAAAAGGTTTTGGATTTTTTGTGTGTTTTTAATTTCCCAATCAATTAAAATCTGACAACAGATAAAATAAAGATTGTGATGTCAGTTTGCATCTTACACAAAGTTGGATGAATTGGCTCTCAATGGTAGACTGGTCGGTTCATTCAGAAGAGTGTTCAGCTGCAGGTGAAAATCAAATAATTCATTAAACTTCATAGAAAGATTTCTACTTGATTTAGAAACATTGATTAATTTAATTCTGATTTCTTACTGCATTATTGATGACATCTTGCACTTGCACATAAGTGCTGTTTCTGAGCTCAGGGACTTCAGACATGCTGATGTTACTCAGTTTAAACGTAATGATGATGGCATAGGCGGTTTCTGAGATTTCTGTTTGGAAATAAAGTTATATTCATATTTGTCCACACCTTGGCAGTCTTGACTGTTTGGCTTGGTCATTCTCATTTCAAACTATTTTCAATTCTGAAGGACGAAACTTACTCTGATAGGTGAAATTCGCCACCTCCACTGATTCATTGAGCTGTGACTGTCTGGATGACAGGAGAGTGTTGAGAGCACTGAGGACAAGAGTTTCACTGGGGACTGGAGATGAGGAGTTGAACAGCAGCTTGCTTGTGACCACTGCTGAACCAGATCTGTAAAAACAACAACTTTTGTTTAGTATATTTCACATTTGTACAATGAAAATACTCCATGACTGATAGTAATCTCTCAAAATGGAAAGTCAACACTAACATTAGTTTTGGAGGAGCCAGAGAGGACCCAGTTGTTGATTCTGGAGACACTGTTGTAGTGATCACTGCAACATTTAAATGTAAAAACAAACAATTAGTCTTTTGTGATTTACAGGAAAAACATTTTTTTTCACCTTTTAGAATTTTTATAGCCACAGATCATCATAACTGACATACCCAATTGTGAATGAAGCTCATTTAGGAAGCTGACTGGTTGAATGGCATCTCCATTCTGGAAGGTGTATTCCATACTGCCGTTAATCTGGTTTGAAGAGCTCCTGTGGGACAAAGAGAAGATATCTGTTAAATTCAGATTCAAAAGGTTTTGAATTTTTTGTGTGTTTTTAATTTCCCAATCAATTAAAATCTGCCAACAGATAAAATAAAGATTGTGATGTCAGTTTGCATCTTACACAAAGTTGGATGAATTGGCTCTCAATGGTAGACTGGTCGGTTCATTCAGAAGAGTGTTCAGCTGCAGGTGAAAATCAAATAATTCATTAAACTTCATAGAAAGATTTCTACTGGACTCAGAAACATTGATTAATTTAATTCTGATTTCTTACTGCATTATTGATGACATCTTGCACTTGCACATAAGTGCTGTTTCTGAGCTCAGGGACTTCAGACATGCTGATGTTACTCAGTTTAAACGTAATGATGATGGCATAGGCGGTTTCTGAGATTTCTGTTTGGAAATAAAGTTATGTTCATATTTGTCCACACCTTGGCAGTCTTGACTGTTAGGCTTGGTCATTCTCATTTCAAACTATTTTCAATTCTGAAGGACGAAACTTACTCTGATAGGTGAAATTCGCCACCTCCACTGATTCATTGAGCTGTGACTGTCTGGATGACAGGAGAGTGTTGAGAGCACTGAGGACAAGAGTTTCACTGGGGACTGGAGATGAGGAGTTGAACAGCAGCTTGCTTGTGACCACTGCTGAACCAGATCTGTAAAAACAACAACTTTTGTTTAGTATATTTCACATTTGTACAATGAAAATACTCCATGACTGATAGTAATCTCTCAAAATGGAAAGTCAACACTAACATTAGTTTTGGAGGAGCCAGAGAGGACCCAGTTGTTGATTCTGGAGACACTGTTGTAGTGATCGCTGCAACATTTAAATGTGAAAACAAACAATTAGTCTTTTGTGATTTACAGAAAAAACATTTTTTTTTTCACCTTTTAGAATTTTTATAGCCATAGATCATCATAACTGACATACCCATTTGTGAATGAAGCTCATTTAGGAAGCTGACTGGTTGAATGGCATCTCCATTCTGGAAGGTGTATTCCATACTGCCGTTAATCTGGTTTGAAGAGCTCCTGTGGGACAAAGAGAAGATATCTGTTAAATTCAGATTCAAAAGGTTTTGAATTTTTTGTGTGTGTTTTTAATTTCCCAATCAATTAAAATCTGCCAACAGATAAAATAAAGATTGTGATGTCAGTTTGCATCTTACACAAAGTTGGATGAATTGGCTCTCAATGGTAGACTGGTCGGTTCATTCAGAAGAGTGTTCAGCTGCAGGTGAAAATCAAATAATTCATTAAACTTCATAGAAAGATTTCTACTGGACTCAGAAACATTGATTAATTTAATTCTGATTTCTTACTGCATTATTGATGACATCTTGCACTTGCACATAAGTGCTGTTTCTGAGCTCAGGGACTTCAGACATGCTGATGTTACTCAGTTTAAACGTAATGATGATGGCATAGGCGGTTTCTGAGATTTCTGTTTTGGAAATAAAGTTATATTCATATTTGTCCACACCTTGGCAGTCTTGACTGTTTGGCTTGGTCATTCTCATTTCAAACTATTTTCAATTCTGAAGGACGAAACTTACTCTGATAGGTGAAATTCGCCACCTCCACTGATTCATTGAGCTGTGACTGTCTGGATGTCAGGAGAGTGTTGAGAGCATTGAGGACAAGAGTTTCACTGGGGACTGGAGATGAGGAGTTGAACAGCAGCTTGCTTGTGACCACTGCTGAACCAGATCTGTAAAAACAACAACTTTTGTTTAGTATATTTCACATTTGTACAATGAAAATACTCCATGGCTGATAGTAATCTCTCAAAATGGAAAGTCAACACTAACATTAGTTTTGGAGGAGCCAGAGAGGACCCAGTTGTTGATTCTGGAGACACTGTTGTAGTGATCACTGCAACATTTAAATGTAAAAACAAACAATTAGTCTTTTGTGATTTACAGAAAAAATATTTTTTCACCTTTTAGAATTTTTATAGCCATAGATCATCATAACTGACATACCCAATAGTGAATGAAGCTCATTTAGGAAGCTGACTGGTTGAATGGCATCTCCATTCTGGAAGGTGTATTCCATACTGCCGTTAATCTGGTTTGAAGAGCTCCTGTGGGACAAAGAGAATATATCTGTTAAATTCAGATTCAAACGGTTTTGATTTTTTTTTTTGTGTGTGTTTTTAATTTCCCAATCATTTCAAATCTGCCAACAGATAAAATAAAGATTGTGATGTCAGTTTGCATCTTACACAAAGTTGGAAGAATTGGCTCTCAATGGTAGACTAGTCGGTTCATTCAGAAGAGTGTTCAGCTGCAGGTGAAAATCAAATAATTCATTAAACTTCATAGAAAGATTTCTACTGGATTTAGAAACATTGATTAATTTAATTCTGATTTCTTACTGCATTATTGATGACATCTTGCACTTGCACATAAGTGCTGTTTCTGAGCTCAGGGACTTCAGACATGCTGATGTTACTCAGTTTAAACGTAATGATGATGGCATAGGCGGTTTCTGAGATTTCTGTTTTGGAAATAAAGTTATATTCATATTTGTCCACACCTTGGCAGTCTTGACTGTTTGGCTTGGTCATTCTCATTTCAAACTATTTTCAATTCTGAAGGACGAAACTTACTCTGATAGGTGAAATTCGCCACCTCCACTGATTCATTGAGCTGTGACTGTCTGGATGTCAGGAGAGTGTTGAGAGCACTGAGGACCAGAGTTTCACTGGGGACTGGAGATGAGGAGTTGAACAGCAGCTTGCTTGTGACCACTGCTGAACCAGATCTGTAAAAACAACAACTTTTGTTTAGTATATTTCACATTTGTACAATGAAAATACTCCATGACTGATAGTAATCTCTCAAAATGGAAAGTCAACACTAACATTAGTTTTGGAGGAGCCAGAGAGGACCCAGTTGTTGATTCTGGAGACACTGTTGTAGTGATCGCTGCAACATTTAAATGTGAAAACAAACAATTAGTCTTTTGTGATTTAAAGAAAAAAAATATTTTTTCACCTTTTAGAATTTTTAAAGTCATAGATCATCATAACTGACATACCCAATTGTGAATGAAGCTCATTTAGGAAGCTGACTGGTTGAATGGCATCTCCATTCTGGAAGGTGTATTCCATACTGCCGTTAATCTGGTTTGAAGAGCTCCTGTGGGACAAAGAGAAGATATCTGTTAAATTCAGATTCAAAAGGTTTTGACTTTTTTGTGTGTTTTTAATTTCCCAATCATTTCAAATCTGACAACAGATAAAATAAAGATTGTGATGTCAGTTTGCATCTTACACAAAGTTGGATGAATTGGCTCTCAATGGTAGACTGGTCGGTTCATTCAGAAGAGTGTTCAGCTGCAGGTGAAAATCAAATAATTCATTAAACTTCATAGAAAGATTTCTACTGGACTCAGAAACATTGATTAATTTAATTCTGATTTCTTACTGCATTATTGATGACATCTTGCACTTGCACATAAGTGCTGTTTCTGAGCTCAGGGACTTCAGACATACTGATGTTACTCAGTTTAAACGTAATGATGATGGCATAGGCGGTTTCTGAGATTTCTGTTTGGAAATAAAGTTATGTTCATATTTGTCCACACCTTGGCAGTCTTGACTGTTTGGCTTGGTCATTCTCATTTCAAACTATTTTCATTTCTGAAGGACAAAACTTACTCTGATAGGTGAAATTCGCCACCTCCACTGATTCATTGAGCTGTGACTGTCTGGATGTCAGGAGAGATTTGAGAGCACTGAGGACAAGAGTTTCACTGGGGACTGGAGATGAGGAGTTGAACAGCAGCTTGCTTGTGACCACTGCTGAACCAGATCTGTAAAAACAACAACTATTGTTTAGTATATTTCACATTTGTACAATGAAAATACTCCATGACTGATAGTAATCTCTCAAAATGGAAAGTCAACACTAACATTAGTTTTGGAGGAGCCAGAGAGGACCCAGTTGTTGATTCTGGAGACACTGTTGTAGTGATCACTGCAACATTTAAATGTGAAAACAAACAATTAGTCTTTTGTGATTTAAAGAAAAAAAATACTTTTTCACCTTTTAGAATTGTTATAGCCATAGATCATCATAACTGACATACCCATTTGTGAATGAAGCTCATTTAGGAAGCTGACTGGTTGAATAGCATCTCCATTCTGGAAGGTGTATTCCATACTGCCGTTAATATGGTTTGAAGAGCTCCTGGGGGACAAAGAGAAGATATCTGTTAAATTCAGATTCAAAAGGTTTTGAATTTTTTTTGTGTGTGTTTTTAATTTCCCAATCAATTAAAATCTGACAACAGATAAAATAAAGATTGTGATGTCAGTTTGCATCTTACACAAAGTTGGATGAATTGGCTCTCAATGGTAGACTGGTCGGTTCATTCAGAAGAGTGTTCAGCTGCAGGTGAAAATCAAATAATTCATTAAACTTCATAGAAAGATTTCTACTGGACTCAGAAACATTGATTAATTTAATTCTGATTTCTTACTGCATTATTGATGACATCTTGCACTTGCACATAAGTGCTGTTTCTGAGCTCAGGGACTTCAGACATGCTGATGTTATTCAGTTTAAACGTAATGATGATGGCATAGGCGGTTTCTGAGATTTCTGTTTGGAAATAAAGTTATGTTCATATTTGTCCACACCTTGGCAGTCTTGACTGTTTGGCTTGGTCATTCTCATTTCAAACTATTTTCAATTCTGAAGGACGAAACTTACTCTGATAGGTGAAATTCGCCACCTCCACTGATTCATTGAGCTGTGACTGTCTGGATGTCAGGAGAGTGTTGAGAGCACTGAGGACAAGAGTTTCACTGGGGACTGGAGATGAGGAGTTGAACAGCAGCTTGCTTGTGACCACTGCTGAACCAGATCTGTAAAAACAACAACTTTTTTTAATTATATTTCACATTTGTACAATGAAAATACTCCATGACTGATAGTAATCTCTCAAAATGGAAAGTCAACACTAACATTAGTTTTGGAGGAGCCAGAGAGGACCCAGTTGTTGATTCTGGAGACACTGTTGTAGTGATCACTGCAACATTTAAATGTAAAAACAAACAATTAGTCTTTTGTGATTTACAGAAAAAATATTTTTTCACCTTTTAGAATTTTTATAGCCATAGATCATCATAACTGACATACCCAATAGTGAATGAAGCTCATTTAGGAAGCTGACTGGTTGAATGGCATCTCCATTCTGGAAGGTGTATTCCATACTGCCGTTAATATGGTTTGAAGAGCTCCTGTGGGACAAAGAGAAGATATCTGTTAAATTCAGATTCAAAAGGTTTTGACTTTTTTGTGTGTTTTTAATTTCCCAATCATTTCAAATCTGCCAACAGATAAAATAAAGTTTGTGATGTCAGTTTGCATCTTACACAAAGTTGGATGAATTGGCTCTCAATGGTAGACTGGTCGGTTCATTCAGAAGAGTGTTCAGCTGCAGGTGAAAATCAAATAATTCATTAAACTTCATAGAAAGATTTCTACTGGATTTAGAAACATTGATTAATTTAATTCTGATTTCTTACTGCATTATTGATGACATCTTGCACTTGCACATAAGTGCTGTTTCTGAGCTCAGGGACTTCAGACATGCTGATGTTACTCAGTTTAAACGTAAAGACGACAGCATAGGAGGTTTCTGAGATTTCTGTTTGGAAATAAAGTTATATTCATATTTGTCCACACCTTGGCAGTCTTGACTGTTTGGCTTGGTCATTCTCATTTCAAACTATTTTCAATTCTGAAGGACGAAACTTACTCTGATAGGTGAAATTCGCCACCTCCACTGATTCATTGAGCTGTGACTGTCTGGATGTCAGGAGAGATTTGAGAGCACTGAGGACAAGAGTTTCACTGGGGACTGGAGATGAGGAGTTGAACAGCAGCTTGCTTGTGACCACTGCTGAACCAGATCTGTAAAAACAACAACTTTTGTTTAGTATATTTCACATTTGTACAATGAAAATACTCCATGACTGATAGTAATCTCTCAAAATGGAAAGTCAACACTAACATTAGTTTTGGAGGAGCCAGAGAGGACCCAGTTGTTGATTCTGAAGACACTGTTGTAGTGATCGCTGCAACATTTAAATGTGAAAATAAACAATTAGTCTTTTGTGATTTAAAGAAAAAAATATTTTTTCACCTTTTAGAATTTTTATAGCCATAGATCATCATAACTGACATACCCAATTGTGAATGAAGCTCATTTAGGAAGCTGACTGGTTGAATGGCATCTCCATTCTGGAAGGTGTATTCCATACTGCCGTTAATATGGTTTGAAGAGCTCCTGGGGGACAAAGAGAAGATATCTGTTAAATTCAGATTCAAAAGGTTTTGACTTTTTTGTGTGTTTTTAATTTCCCAATCATTTCAAATCTGACAACAGATAAAATAAAGATTGTGATGTCAGTTTGCATCTTACACAAAGTTGGATGAATTGGCTCTCAATGGTAGACTGGTCGGTTCATTCAGAAGAGTGTTCAGCTGCAGGTGAAAATCAAATAATTCATTAAACTTCATAGAAAGATTTCTACTGGATTTAGAAACATTGATTAATTTAATTCTGATTTCTTACTGCATTATTGATGACATCTTGCACTTGCACATAAGTGCTGTTTCTGAGCTCAGGGACTTCAGACATGCTGATGTTATTCAGTTTAAACGTAATGATGATGGCATAGGCGGTTTCTGAGATTTCTGTTTGGAAATAAAGTTATATTCATATTTGTCCACACCTTGGCAGTCTTGATTGTTTGGCTTGGTCATTCTCATTTCAAACTATTTTCAATTCTGAAGGACGAAACTTACTCTGATAGGTGAAATTCGCCACCTCCACTGATTCATTGAGCTGTGACTGTCTGGATGTCAGGAGAGTGTTGAGAGCACTGAGGACAAGAGTTTCACTGGGGACTGGAGATGAGGAGTTGAACAGCAGCTTGCTTGTGACCACTGCTGAACCAGATCTGTAAAAACAACAACTTTTGTTTAGTATATTTCACATTTGTACAATGAAAATACTCCATGACTGATAGTAATTTCTCAAAATGGAAAGTCAACACTAACATTAGTTTTGGAGGAGCCAGAGAGGACCCAGTTGTTGATTCTGGAGACACTGTTGTAGTGATCGCTGCAACATTTAAATGTGAAAACAAACAATTAGTCTTTTGTGATTTAAAGAAAAAATATTTTTTCACCTTTTAGAATTTTTATAGCCATAGATCATCATAACTGACATACCCAATTGTGAATGAAGCTCATTTAGGAAGCTGACTGGTTGAATAGCATCTCCATTCTGGAAGGTGTATTCCATACTGCCGTTAATCTGGTTTGAAGAGCTCCTGGGGGACAAAGAGAAGATATCTGTTAAATTCAGATTCAAAAGGTTTTGAATTTTTTGTGTGTTTTTAATTTCCCAATCAATTAAAATCTGCCAACAGATAAAATAAAGATTGTGATGTCAGTTTGCATCTTACACAAAGTTGGATGAATTGGCTCTCAATGGTAGACTGGTCGGTTCATTCAGAAGAGTGTTCAGCTGCAGGTGAAAATCAAATAATTCATTAAACTTCATAGAAAGATTTCTACTGGACTCAGAAACATTGATTAATTTAATTCTGATTTCTTACTGCATTATTGATGACATCTTGCACTTGCACATAAGTGCTGTTTCTCAGCTCAGGGACTTCAGACATGCTGATGTTATTCAGTTTAAACGTAATGATGATGGCATAGGCGGTTTCTGATATTTCTGTTTGGAAATAAAGGTATGTTCATATTTGTCCAAACCTTGGCAGTCTTGACTGTTTGGCTTGGTCATTCTCATTTCAAACTATTTTCAATTCTGAAGGACGAAACTTACTCTGATAGGTGAAATTCGCCACCTCCACTGATTCATTGAGCTGTGACTGTCTGGATGACAGGAGAGTGTTGAGAGCACTGAGGACAAGAGTTTCACTGGGGACTGGAGATGAGGAGTTGAACAGCAGCTTGCTTGTGACCACTGCTGAACCAGATCTGTAAAAACAACAACTTTTGTTTAGTATATTTCACATTTGTACAATGAAAATACTCCATGACTGATAGTAATCTCTCAAAATGGAAAGTCAACACTAACATTAGTTTTGGAGGAGCCAGAGAGGACCCAGTTGTTGATTCTGGAGATTCTGGAGAGGTTTTGGTTGATTGGCCTGAAGTTGAAAGTGCCACAGTGGCTGGAACTTGAGTTGTGCTTAACAGACCTGTGCTTGGAATGGTGGATGTTGTGCTTGGAACTGTAGTTGATGTTTGACCTGGAATAGATGCTGTTTTCTGGTTTTCCAGACCTGGTACTGTTATTGGAACCAAATTTGTAAATTCTACTGTATTTGTAATAATTCCAGTTGTAGTTGTTGAAGCAGTTGTGGTTCCTGAATTCAAGTTTGCTGAAGACACAGTTTTTGTTGTTGGGCCTGAAGTTGAATGTGCCAATGTGGCTGGAGCAAGAGTTGTACTTAACAGACCTGTGCTTGGAAAGGTGGATGCTGTGCTTGGAACTGTAGTCGAGACATCAGCTGTAATTGTATTGGTGGGAAAAGCAGTCATGGTTCTCGTGGATGCAGTTGGCGTTCCTGGAGGTTCAGTTGTTATTGTTGGAGTTGAAGTTGGGGATATAGTATCATGCACTGTGGAGATAGACATAACTGTTACAGCAATAGTAATGTTTTCTGGAGACACAGTTGAGATGACTGGAGGTTCAGTTGTTTTGGTAAGTGTAGTTTGGCTTAGAGCTGGAGCTGTATCAGTAAAATCAATAGTTGTGCTTGACAGAGGTGCAGTTGTTATTTGGAATGCAGTTGTTGTTGCTGCTGTAGGTGTGTTAGTGTTTTGAGTTAAAGCTGAGGTTTGAGCTGGAGTTTCAGTTGTGGGATAGTCAAATGTTGTCATTGCTAATGTTGATGTAGCTGGAGGCACAGTTAGAGTTGATGTTGTGGTTTCAACTGTTGTGTATGTTGTAACTGAACTGGCAGTCATAGATGTTTCTGAAAATGACAGCATTGTTGTTGAAGTAAGAGTTGTGGCTGCGGGTGTTGATGTCATTGGAATGTATGTTGTTGTACCTGAAGATTCAGATGAGGTTGGAGCTAATATAGTAGTGGAAGGCACCATCGTGGTTGTGGAAGCTGTAGATGTTGAAGCTGCAGTTGTGGTTTCTGAAGTTGTAGACATTTTTGTTGAAACAGTTTCTGGACTAATATTTGTGGTTGTGACAGCTTCAGTGGTTACATGTGGCATTGTGGTTTGAGGTGTTATACTTTGAGCTTCAGAGGACGTTGGAGATAATGTAGTAGTGGACGGTTCAGTTAGGGTTATAGTTGCTGTATTAGTTGTTTCAGTTGCAGTTGTTGTTTTTGAAGTTGTAGGCATTGTTGTCGAAGCAAGTGTTGTAGTTTCTGAAGTTATAACTGTTGTTGTAGTTGGAGATTCAGATGAAGTTGGAGTCGATGTCGTAGTACTGGGCAAGGAAGTTGTGGTTGAAGCTGTGGCTGTAGTTTCTGAAGTTGTACTTTCTGAAGTTGTAGGCACCACTGTTGACGTAAGATGAGTTGTTTCTGTAGTTACTACGGTGGTTGTGGGAGTTTGAGTTGTTGTGAGTTCAACTGATGTTGTGGGCTCAGCTGTAGTTGTGGTAGGGGGAGATGCAGTTGAAGTTTCTGAAGTTGTAGACAATGTGGTTGAAACAACAGGTAAGGTTTCTGGACTAACATTTGTGATTGTGACAGCTTCAGTAGTTGTGGTTACAGGTGTCATTGTGGTCAGAGCTGTTTTTGTACTGTGTGCTTCAGAGGATGTTGGAGCTAATGTAGTGGAAGCTTCAGTTAGGGTTGTTGATGCTGTTACATTTGTTTCAGTTGCAGTTGTTGTTTCTGAAGTTGTAGGTATTGTTGTCGAAGCAAGTGTTGTAGTTTCTGAAGTTTTAACTGTTGTTGCAGTTGGAGATTCAGATGAAGTTGGAGCCGATGTCATAGTATTGGGCAATGAACTTGTGGTTGTTGAAGCAGTAGCTGTAGTTTCTGATGTTGTACTTTCTGAAGCTGTAGACATTGTGGTTGAAACAACAGTTGAGGTTTCTGGACTAACATTTGTGGTTGTGACAGCTTCAGTAGTTGTGGTTACAGGTGGTGTAGTGGTCGGTGCTGTTGTACTTTGTGCTTCAGAGGACGTTGGAGTTAATGTAGTTGTGGAAGCTTTAGCTAGGGTTGTTGATGCTGTAATAGTTGTTTCAGTTGTTGTTTCTGAAGTTGTAGGCATTGTTGTTGAAGCAAGTGTTGTAGTTTCTGAAGTTATAACTGTTGTTGCAGTTGGAGATTCAGTTGACGTTGGAGCTGATGTCGTAGTACTGGGCAATGAAGTTGTGGGAGTTTGAGTTGTTGTGAGATCAACTGATGTTGTGGGCTCAGCTTTAGTTGTGGTAGTGGGAGGTGCAGTTGAAGTTTCTGAAGTTGTAGACATTGTGGTTGAAACAACAGATGAGGTTTCTGAACTAACAGTTGTGGTTGTGACAGCTTCAGTAGCTGTGGTTACAGGTGTTGTTGTGGTCGGTGCTGTTGTTGTACTTTGTGCTTCAGAGGACGTTGGAGTTAATGTAGTTGTGGAAGCTTCAGTTGGGGTGGTTGATGCTGTAATAGTTGTTGCAGTTGCAGTTGTTGTTTCTGAAGTTGTAGGCATTGTTGTTGAAGCAAGTGTTGTAGTTTCTGAAGTTATAACTGTTGTTGCAGTTGGAGATTCAGTTGATGTTGGAGCTGATGTCGTAGTACTGGGCAATGAAGTTGTGGTTGTTGAAGCTGTTGCTGTAGTTTCTGATGTTGTACTTTCTGAAGTTGTAGGCACCACTGTTGAAGTAAGAGGGGTTGTTTCTGTAGTTACTACTGTCGTTGTGGGAGTTTGAGTTGTTGTGAGTTCAACTGATGTTGTGGGCTCAGCTGTAGTTGTGGTAGTGGGAGGTGCAGTTGAAGTTTCTGAAGTTGTAGACATTGTGGTTGAAACAACAGTTGAGGTTTCTGGACTAACATTTGTGGTTGTGACAGCTTCAGTAGTTGTGGTTACAGGTGTTGTTGTGGTCGGTGCTGTTGTTGTACTTTGTGCTTCAGAGGACTTTAATGTAGTTGTGGAAGCTTCAGTTAGGGTTGTTGATGCTGTAATAGTTGTTGCAGTTGCAGTTGTTGTTTCTGAAGTTGTAGGCGTTGCTGTCGAAGCAAGTGTTGTAGTTTCTGAAGTTATAACTGTTGTTGCAGTTGGAGATTCAGTTGACGTTGGAGCTGATGTCGTAGTACAGGGCAACGAAGTTGTGGTTGTTGAAGCTGTTGCTGTAGTTTCTGATGTTGTACTTTCTGAAGTTGTAGGCACCACTGTTGAAGTAAGAGGTGTTGTTTCTGTAGTTACTACTGTCGTTGTGGGAGTTTGAGTTGTTGTGAGTTCAACTGATGTTGTGGGCTCAGCTGTAGTTGTGGTAGTGGGAGGTGCAGTTGAAGTTTCTGAAGTTGTAGACATTGTGGTTGAAACAACAGTTGAGGTTTCTGGACTAACATTTGTGGTTGTGACAGCTTCAGTAGTTGTGATTACAGGTGTTGTTGTGGTCGATGCTGTTGTTGTACTTTGTGCTTCAGAGGACGTTGGAGTTAATGTAGTAGTGGAAGTTTCAGTTAGGGTTGTTGATGCTGTAATAGTTGTTGCAGTTGCAGTTGTTGTTTCTGAAGTTGTAGGCATTGTTGTTGAAGCAAGGGTTGTAGTTTCTGAAGTTATAACTGTTGTTGCAGTTGGAGATTCAGTTGACGTTGGAGCTGATGTCGTAGTACTGGGCAATGAAGTTGTGGTTGTTGAAGCTGTTGCTGTAGTTTCTGATGTTGTACTTTCTGAAGTTGTAGGCACCACTGTTGAAGTAAGAGGTGTTGTTTCTGTAGTTACTACTGTCGTTGTGGGAGTTTGAGTTGTTGTGAGTTCAACTGATGTTGTGGGCTCAGCTGTAGTTGTGGTAGTGGGAGGTGCAGTTGAAGTTTCTGAAGTTGTAGACATTGTGGTTGACACAACAGTTGAGGTTTCTGGAGTAACAATTGTGGTTGTGACAGCTTCAGTAGTTGTGGTTACAGGTGTTGTTGTGGTCGGTGCTGTTGTTGTACTTTGTGCTTCAGAGGACGTTGGAGTTAATGTAGTTGTGGAAGCTTCAGTTAGGGTTGTTGATGCTGTAATAGTTGTTTCAGTTGCAGTTGTTGTTTCTGTAGTTGTAGGCGTTGCTGTCGAAGCAAGTGTTGTAGTTTCTGAAGTTATAACTGTTGTTGCAGATGGAGATTCAGTTGACGTTGGTGCTGATGTCGTAGTACTGGGCAATGAAGTTGTGGTTGTTGAAGCTGTTGCTGTAGTTTCTGATGTTGTACTTTCTGAAGTTGTAGGCACCACTGTTGAAGTAAGAGGTGTTGTTTCCGTAGTTACTACTGTCGTTGTGGGAGTTTGAGTTGTTGTGAGTTCAACTGATGTTGTGGGCTCAGCTGTAGTTGTGGTAGTGGGAGGTGCAGTTGAAGTTTCTGAAGTTGAAGACATTGTGGTTGAAACAATAGTTGAGGTTTCTGGAGTAACAATTGTGGTTGTGACAGCTTCAGTAGTTGTGGTTACAGGTGTTGTTGTGGTCGGTGCTGTTGTTGTACTTTGTGCTTCAGAGGACGTTGGAGTTAATGTAGTTGTGGAAGCTTCAGTTAGGGTTGTTGATGCTGTAATAGTTGTTTCAGTTGCAGTTGTTGTTTCTGTAGTTGTAGGCGTTGCTGTCGAAGCAAGTGTTGTAGTTTCTGAAGTTATAACTGTTGTTGCAGATGGAGATTCAGTTGACGTTGGAGCTGATGTCGTAGTACTGGGCAATGAAGTTGTGGTTGTTGAAGCTGTTCCTGTCGTTTCTGATGTTGTACTTTCTGAAGTTGTAGGCACCACTGTGGAAGTAAGAGGTGTTGTTTCTGTAGTTACTACTGTCGTTGTGGGAGTTTGAGTTGTTG